CCAGTCATTGTCACCTCTTCGAAACTAGAGAAAAGAGAAGACGAAAAACATGTTTTTGTATTTGCAGAAATGTTGTAATTAAGTTATAAAACCGACTTATAAAATTATGGTTTTTTTCTTTTTAAAATAAAAATTTCTAAAATAAAAATTTTATGTAACTGCGGAGAGTTGCACAGAAAGACAGAAATTCGTGAAAAATAAACGTTACTGCGTTAAAGGCATTGGAAGACAGAGAAAAATAGAGGTGGTTTTATTAAGTGGTGTGACAAAGACTCTGAAAGAGAGCTGGTTTTGCGCAGTCTGCGGTTGCGGGAGCCCAATCATGGCCGTACATCATCTACCGAATCTTCTAATGATGCTTCTAACTTTACTAATCAGCTTAACACCTGGAACAAAAGCTTCGGATGGCCCTAGGAACAAAACCAATGCTGAAGTATACTCAGTGCTTCGGCTTCGAACGGATGACCTCAAACAGTTAACGGCTGTCAAAGATCTTTTTAATTCAGCGCCACTATTCGATGTAAAATTATTTTTGTTTACTGTTTTAATGATTTTCTGCATATTTTTTTCTTCTTTTCTTTTTCTTCAGGTTGAAAGAAATTTTGTAAAGATCTGCGTTAAATAAAAGAATCAATTTGTTCTTTTTGTCTTACTCTTACGCTTTCAACCAACTACATGGTCCTTGATTTCTAGGATTGCTTTTTAGTTTTGGTTTTCTGATTACCTGGTTGATGTCATAGTAGAAAAACGGAAAAATCCCTATTTGCTTTTGAAAAAAAATAGAGCGGGCAAATTAATATCTTTTGTAACTCTTATCCAACACTGGTTTCATATGTTCGACGGAAAAAAAAAAAAAAAGAAGAAGGAAAGAAATGGTGTTGGATCAATGATAATAATGACGACCTTTTGATGAACGGATGTCGCAACGTTCTCATAGAAATTCTGAAATGAATTTAAAAAAAAAAAAAAGAAATCAAAGAATTTTATTCTTTTTTCAATTTTTTATGTTTCTATTCTTTCTTACTCTTATAGAGCTAAATTTATTACAGCTAAATTTTTGGAAATTGTCAAGAAGTATACACGGCTTTAGTGATGTGATGGTACCGTCAAGTTCAATGGAAAAAGTTATGAAAATGCTTACTGATGTTGACATTATGCCAAAAGTTACGATTGAAAACGTTGAAAAGTTTGTTTTAATAATTGTCTAAAGGAAACAAAGAAACGATCCATATATATCGTCGCCAATCAGCCAGATATGTTTATGTGTAAAAATTGTCGTTTCTTGTGAACAGAATTTCAATCATTTTTTAATAGGCGTAAGAATTGTTGTGTATTTTTGTGTTTTGAGTGTTTCTGCTTTGAAAAAAATTTTGTTTGTTTTCTTTTCAAAAGAAAAAAAACAACGTCAAAAGGAATTTTCCCAAATCATTATTGTCATCATCGACAATCTTAGCACTAGTTATAAAAATTATTCAATTAATAGAAATATAATGTTAATTCAAGGTCAATTTCTCAAGTCAGTAAAGTTAATTGTTGGCGCAAAAAAAAAGGCAAAAACACTTTTTTAAACCAATTTTCAGACTAATTATTGATCGAGAAAATCGAAACAATCTGTATGACAGACGACTGAAGGACGACTTTCCAAATGTGACCAATTATAACTTCTATAAATATGGTTCCTATCCACAGATGGTTGCCTGGATGAAGAATTTGGCTCGTCAGTATCCATCATTTGTGCAGTACATTGAGATTGGTAAATCGCATGAAGGTCGTAGTATTGCCGGACTTGAAGTATGAACCAGTTACATGGTATTTTTGTACGAAACAACTGAAAAAACCACCAAAAAAACCTACATATCTTATGATTTAAAATTGTTCTTCTTTTTTTTTTTGTCTACAACAACGCACTACCATTCATTCGGTAATTTTTGTATTGTTCCTTTCTTTTTTATTCCTACAAAGTTCCAGAAAACTGAATATTCGATCTTATCATTGCTTCACCGGAACAGCTTTTCAAGAAGTAATACTGAAAAAAAAAAAAGAAAAGAGAGAAAAAAAAGTTAAGAGAACAGTTTTCTCCTGTCTTTTCGGCTATCATTCATTATCTTTTTTTAATTGTTTGACGTCACCTTTTTTTTGTATATGGGCTAAAAAATCTGTCTGTTAAGTGGAACTGTTGATGACAGAGTGGAGAAAATAAAGAAAAAATTGTTTTAGGAAGTTCTTTTGAACCTTATTAAATGTTTAGATTGAAAACTTATTTTGAAAGATTACTAAAGACATCTAAGAGTACTATCGTTCATTCCCTGTTCTTTTTTTTCATTTTTCTTCTTGGTCATATGTTGTTCCAATTTCCTTTTTTTTTTTTGTGAGCTGCTTCTACATCGTTATGATTCAATCAAGCTCTGAGTCATGAAACTATAGCTTGACAACTAAATCTAAACCAGTTCCTCTTGTTTGCATGCATTTTGCTAGTTTTATGCTACACACGCCTTATTGTCGCATTAAACCAATGTATCGGTAGTTGTTTGATAAGCCTATTTTTCTTAGTCTGTTTCCTTCTTTTTTTTCCATTTATTTATAAACGAAAAAACAAACAAACAAACAAAAGAAAAAATTCAAGTAAAAGAAAGATGAAGATAAAATTTTAAAACACTTCATAATTAATTGGTATTGAATACAGGCGTTGAATAACTGTCTTTTTGTTTATAGTTCAACGTCTATAAATTTCTGCAGCAGATCGATCGTCATAAAAACAAAAGAATACAAGCTAAAAAAAAAAGAAAAACAAATTTTTTCGATAGTCACTTCTTTTTAGACTTTTAAAACCTTTTTTCATTGTTTATTTTCCGATTTTTTATTTATAAAAGAGATATTGCGATTAACGGTGCTGAGATTTTCGAAGTCCTTAATCGTTTCGTTGGTAACCCAGATTAAACTTTTTGTCTACATTTCAAGCTACGGAACAGCATAATTGCCTTTCGACAGTATGAAATGCTAAAGAGTAAGATAAGAAGAAACCCATTAGACGAACTGTTTGTTGATTTGCTCAGTAACTTCCACCCGAAAATGAATTAAAAAAGAAAACTAGCAGATGACTTAATTAGCGATATCTTAGTGATGAAAGAGACACTATACTATGAAAAAAAAAATAGAGGATATTTATGGCTAAAATAAAACCTTGATCTTTGTTTATTCTTCTGCCTTTTCTCTGTTCAGCACTTAATAAGCTTCCTCCTTTCTTCTTCTTTCAGATTGGTGGTGGCGATAAAACAAAACGTGTTTTTTGGATCGATGGTGGAATTCATGCTCGTGAATGGGCCGCACCACATACGGCGCTGTATTTTATTCACCAACTAACATCTAAGTATGGTCGAGACCCAGAAATAACCAACTATGTGAACCGTCTGACCTGGGTTATCGTTCCTTGTCTAAATCCAGATGGATATGAATTTACACGTTCATCCACTAAGCCAAACGTAAGTGCACAAAAGTAGATTGTTAAATGGCTGATTTAGTGCATCCGATATTAAATAGTTACCAAAAAATTCAAATGTTATTTATTCTAAGTGTTCAGTGTTTCAGTGTTGTTATTACTTCTTTACCTGTGTTTTCGTTGTTAACTGAAAAAAAACAAGACTTTTCGTTTTTTCCTCTTATTTGATTTTTCTCTTTTAAATTTACTCAGTGGAAAAAAAATTAGGGCAGAACAGCGAAAAAAGTAAAACGGCAATAACAACAACAAATGTTTATATGTATATCTGCAAAGTTACTTTTCAATGCAACAAGAAAAGTGTTTTTTTTTTTT